GCCCAAAGTCATTTCCACCGAGCCTGCGAGCCTGCACGCACCCTCTCGTATAATCACCCAACATCCGACACTGTCGCCGTTTGCCAGGACCTGGATAAGCTGGAGCGCCTGGTGTTTGAGCTGATGTCCACCGGCCGCACCAAGGACCTCTATTCCATCCTTAAGGTGGGCGTCTTGCAGGGGCCCAGCCTCAGCGCCGCTCTTGACGACGGCCACTTGGTTGCGCCCCCCACACGGGCAGCGGACCCTTTGCCCCCAGCCCGAGGGCAAGTGCGAGCGGGAATTCCGCTGCTCTATCTGCCGTCTGGACAACAGCGGAGCGACGCCTGCGGCGTGGGTACCTGCATACCACACTGAAGAGCTGCACTGCTTTTGGAGTATGCCACCACGCCCCAACCCCCACCATTTGCTCGCCCCGGCCCCCTTGCCCGCTTCCTCGCTTGCAGGTCGAGTCGCAGCTCGCCGAGCGCAGGGGCGAGCACCTCGCGCCGCACGAGCCGACCGCGGAGGAGCGGCAGCACGACGACCACATCACGCACCTCAGGGTCCGCGCTGACGAGCTGTTTGACGCGATGGACACAAACGGCGACGGCATCGTGGACAGGTGGGCGCGGTGGTGTGTGAGGGTGTGTTTGTGTGTGCACGCGTGCGTGTGTGCTCGCACACGCCACTGTGGTGCGTTGACATGTGCGCTTGCGTTCGCTGTCTCTTGAGCAGCCTGCTGAAAACGGGAGGGCAGGCACGCCTTGCCGTGGTAGGAGGGCTGTCTAGGCTGCAAGCTTGCTTGTTTATTCTACCAGGCAGCCAGCACGCAGTTCTGTGCTACGAGGCAGTCCGCCACCTTCAACACAGACCGCCTCTGAACCCGCAACACATATCGTAATCTTTACAAAGGGAGGAGTTTCTGGTGGCCATGAGCATGCTGCGCAACGAGCTGGGCTGGGACGAGGCGGAGCTGGGCACCGTCTTTGACGCCATCGACTGCCACGGGCACGTGTCGCGCGAGCAGGTGCAGGGAGGATACAGGCTGTGCTCTGGATTGTGCCTGGAAGACGTAAGGAAGGGGGTGGCGTGCGCAGGGGGCAAGCGTTTGCCTGTGTTGCGTGACATGGCAGTTGGCAAGAAGGTTGGTCTAGAATGGCTGCAGGCTTCCTGCAACCGCTTGGTGCAGCAGAGGCTGCAAAAGCATTCCGCCCATCGCATACCCAAACACCTGCACCAGTTTGCCGACATCTTGGTGGCGGAGGAGCTCAGGGACCCATCAGCGGACGCAGAGCTTTTGAGGCACCTCGTGCACTCGCGCCCAGCCTGGTGGAGTGATCGCCCGCGCAACCTGGACTCGCTGTGAGAGCTGGAACCCCCGGCAGCGCCCCACTGCAGCGTCATGGGGCCTTGAAGCATGGCTGAGCGCGCACGCTTGCGCCAGGGCGGGCGGGTCTTGTGCACCCAGTTTCTTCCGCCCCTGCAGCTGCGTTTTTTGACTGCCAACGCTGTGTCACTTTTCTCGGACAACGCAGATACGGGTGCACCTTGCTCACCTGAGCTGCCTCTCAACACAAAAGGCCCTCAAGCGCAAGCCCCATACATGCTTCTCATGTACCATCCCAGCCGTTTTGCACTTCTCCGAGGGTTTGGCACATTTTTCATAGGCTCAGCCAGGAATGTCAGGCAGTCACCACGTCGACAGCCTCCACATGTGTACCACACCAGGGCTGCACGCGTTCTTGGCAGCGACATCGAGCTGGGAAGGACACCCGGCCTTTTTTTCATTGAAGGTAGTTGCTGTGCATTGACGATCCCGCCTCTTGTTCAACCTGTCAGCTTGCCTTATGTGGTGCCGGCGGCCAGCCACCTCACACTCTTGTTTCGTGGGAATGTGCTGCATCGAGCAGGCTGGCAATTTCGCCGCCGGTCCCCATTCCAAACACAACCACAGCAGCACACTCCCTCGTACACTGTCGGGATTGAGCAAAGTCCCATGTGCCAGTCAACCCAGGGCAGAGTCAAAGCTGTTGAGTCTTGCTAGGTTGCCTCGATGCACCAGAAATTGCCGCGTCTGATGCTAGAGCTCGACTGAAGTAAGCACACAGGCATATGTGTTTGGCCCCATTGTACCTACAATCGCCTGTTTTTTTGCGCCCTTTGACGTTCAGTCGCGGTCTTGGGGCTGCCATTTTCCCACTTTGGGCTGGATGTAAGCTACGAGTGCTAGCGGGATTGGTTGCCAACTCGAGGAGTGAGCTGGCAGTCAGTACGAGGCAGCGCAATCGCGTGCTGCAGACTGCTGCGATGCACCGCTGCAGTCCGGCTCTGCACTGCTCTTGCCTTTGCACGTTCGCAGGTCGCAGCCAGAATTCTGGCATGAGCTCATCATGGCAGGAAAGATTGGCGCCAGGGGGGCAGTGGGCGAGAATGCGAACGGCACTGGAGGTGCCTTGGGATAAGCCGGCACTTGCTGTGTGGCAGGTGCGTGGGGCGCAGGCGCCGCAAAGTGGGGTGCACGCCCGTCGCCAGAGTTCATGACATGCCACATTGTCGATATGAACGCCAATTCAAAGACAAAGGCTATCGCAGCGGTAGAGCAAGAGGTTGTTCCAACATCTTATCTTGGGCTGCTTGGTGCTGGAGGACCACCAGCCTGATGTTCGTGGCACCCAGGTGCACCGAGGCAAATCCGGGGCGCAAAAGCATCTTCCAAGCAGATGTCTGACATGTGGAAGCAAAGGGTCCACGATGGTTTCATAGCGCCGTACCTGTACACACTGCCAAACCCCCTACCAGAGCCGATAGTTTGAATCACTACTCAGCAGCTGAGCTCCGGAGCAGCTGCCGAGCATCGGCCCCCGTGCCTGCGCGCCCATTTGCTGTACCTACGATCCATGACTGGTGTTGGCCGTCATGCAGCAATAGATCTTTTCCGGCAGCATGATCGCACAGAGCATCGGCACCAGCACCAACAACACAAGCGATCCAAGCTTGAATACTTGATTTGTCGTTTTTGAGGAGTCGAAATTAGGGGCCGTTCAGTGGGAGTGCAGTTCGCCCAGGATGGGCAGCCTGCGCCCTCGCCGCGAGGTCAATTATCATGGAGCCATGGGTGGCTCGGGCACCCCGGCATGGCTCAAGGTGTGCCTGGCACGCGGGCGGGGACAGAAGTGGCAAGCCCACAACGGGCTGCGCTTTCAAAGCGACTCGGCATTTATGATGGACCCTACCCTGCGCAGGCGGAAAATAAGGCCTCAAAGAAGTCAGGAGGTGATCAGAGCCCCGAGCTGGAGCCAAGGGCGCTCCTTGGCGGCGTGCTGGCGGCGACGGACAAGGGCACCAAGCGGGGCTCAGCGCCCTCAAAAAAGAGCGGCGCAGCAGGCCCGGGCGCGGCAAGCATCGCCGCCAGGGAGGCGGCGGGCAGTAAGCCCGTGGCGCCTGCGGGCCAGCCCATAAAGGTTCGCCACCCCTCGTCGCTGGAGGCAATGCCGTTGAGCGAGCGGTTGCAGGTGGCCAAGGCGACCCTGGCCCAGGGAGTCGGAGAGGTTGAGGCAGGCAAGACGGCAGCGGCCCCAAAAAAGCGCAAGAGCGCGCCTACCGCGGCCGAACCGGCCGTGGGGGTAGACTCGGACGATGACGGGGCGCTGTTGGTGCGCGACGGTGGCGCGAGTGCAGCAGCGCGCGGGAAGGGTGGCAAGAAGGAAGGCAAGAAGGCCCGTAAGTCGGCGCCTGCCGCCACAGCGGCGAGGCAGGTGAAGGAGGAGCGGCGCGACGAGGAAGCCGCGCCGGGCGGAAGTCAGCCGCGCGCCAAGCAGGCAGCGGGCAGCAGGGGCAAGGGCAAAGCAGGTGCGGCTGCAGCAGCGGCTGCGGCCGACGCAGCCGCCGCGCTGACAGCGCTCAAGAGCAGCGGCGGCAACAAGCACCAGCGGGAGGCTGAGGAGCAACCTGCCGCTGGCAAGCAGGCCAAGAAGAAGCAAAGCAAGGCCGACCAAGCGGCAGCAGCAGCCGCAGCAGCAGCGGCGGCGGCGGATGCGGCGGCAGAAGCGGCAGTTGCAGCCAAGCAGGCCGCGCCGGGCCCCTCCAAGGCCGAGCGGGAGAAGAACTCCCGAAGCAGCAAAAGCTCCGGCGCGCAGGGCGCCATCGCCAGCGCCGGGGCCGGCGCAGGGCCGGCAGCGGTGAAGGCGGCGAAGGGCAGCGGCAGCGGGTCCCAAGCCAGCCGCAAGCGCAAGGCCAGCAGCGGCGAGGTGGAGGGCGGCCAGGATGACGTCTTGTCTGACGGCACAGCCCACACCACTTCCGGCAACAAGCGGGCGCGCAAGGGCGATAGCGCTGGCCAGGCCGGTGGCGGCAAGCGCTCCAAGGGCAAGGGGTCGTCGCAGCAGGGGCGTGAGGAGAAGACGGAGGGTGTGGACATTGCACCAGTGGCGAACACCACGCCGGCGGCGAGCGGCGGCAAAAGCGCCAGCCCATGCGCCAAGGCTGCCAAGCAGGCGGGGCAGGAGCAGCAGCAGGCGGCTGGCAGTAAGAGCACCATGCCGGCCGCCGCCGCGGTGCCTGCCCCGAAGAAGGGCCGGAAGGCCGCCTCCGCGCCCGCCGCCGCGCCTGGCGCGCCCCCGGCCGCGACAAAGGCGGCGGCCGCGGAGGGCGCGGCGGGCCCGTCGACGGGCGCGCCGGGGCGCGGTGCGGCCGGGGCCGGGGCGCGGGAGGATGCTGACGGGGACGACGCGGTGGCGGCGCTGGTGGCGCAGGACGACCACGACTACAACAAGCTCATGGTGAGCCTCCCTGGCCGCTGACATGATCGTTTTTGCCTGCAGGCCGCGCCTGCCGCGGCGCGCGGCGGCACAGCGCTGCATCCCAAACGCTTGGCGCCTGCCTCCTCAGTCGCTGACGGCGTCCGACCCCTTCGGGTGCTCCGCACGCGGGCCCTGCCCGTCTGGCCGTCCCCCAGCGCCAGTACCGCCGCCTGCTGGATATGTACGGTTCCCTGAAGAGCCAGAAGATTGGCCAGCTGGAGGCCCTGGTGGAGGAGCAGGACGCCAGCCTGGTGGCTGTGCGCGAGGTGTGTGGGGGGAGGGGGGGGGAGAGAGAGAAGGCGAGAGCCTGCGCTTTTTTTTGCGGGGGGTGGGTTGAGCGAATGGGTGAGTGGATTGGGGAAGCGAGGAGCACGCGGCCTGGTGTTCCCGCTGTCTGTGAATGCTGAACGCGTAGATACACACACATGCAACCTGAAGACACGCAGAACACACACACACACACACAAACACACACGCGCGCGTGCGGGCGCGTGTGTGTGTGTGTGTGTGTGTGTACACAAACACACACATACACGTATACACACAGGACACATGCACACACGCAAGCATGCACACTGTCAATGGCCCACTCAGGAGGTGAAGAAGAGTGAGGAGTACTGGAAGCGCGAGGCCAAGATGCAGCGCCAGGCCGCGGCCAGCGTGCAGGCGGAGGAGACGCAGCGGCGCATGAAGTTCATGCAGGTGCGGCGGCGGTGACGGCCGAGCGCGCATGCTGCACCGATGGTATGTGCATGCAGCGCTCCAGGTGCGTACGCCGATCCTGCGCCGCCGCCCTCGGGGCATGGCCGCATGCGAGTGCATGTTGCCGCCCCTCATTCCCCCCTCCATGGTATTTTGTACCTGGGCCCGATGCCCCCTGGCAGGACGAGCTCATCAAGGCCAAGGCTGCTGTGCACGAGGCCGAGAAGGCGCTGCGGCTGCGCGAAATTGAGCTGCTGGAGCGCGACAGGAGGGTGAGCGCCCGGGTGCGGGGACTTAGAGGGGTTGGGGGGCGGGGGTGGTGTCGGGCACCCGGGGCGCGCTGGGAACGCGAATGATGAGGGCACTGCCGCCGAGGTTCGGTGCTCTTTGTAGCCGCTGGCAACTCCGCTTTGGGCCTGTGTGTCCTCGGGAGCTGGGCGATACGAGGATTGCAGCATCAGGAGTGGCTGCTGCGCCTCGCGTCGGCGCCCAGCTGCCATCCCAGAAAAGCGTGGCCTTGCAGCACCCTCTTGAGGCCTCTCCCTGCGCGTGCCTCCCCGCACTTCCCTGGGACCTCAGCTGGCCGAGCTGGCGACCCAGGCAGAGGCCGGGGCCCCGCAGGTGCGCGCGGGGCGGCAGATCCTTTCACACCCGTCGCGTGCGTGCGTACGCCCACGCGCGTGTGCGCGCCTGTGCCGTGGTCGTTGCGTTTGCCTGTGCCGTCCAAGCCTCCCAGGTCGCCTGTCTGACGCCGCACGCCTGCATCTCCCACGTGCCTAGCTGCCCTCAACGTTGCCTCACCCCGCCCCTGCCGCTCGACCCTCCGATGTTAAATCCACAGCCAGCGGAGAGCGTCGGCCTCGACCCAATGTCAGCCGGCCCCAAGGCCTCTGCTGGCACCGCCCCCGGGCCATCCCCGGGCGTCGGCGTGCAGTTCCCCACGCCCGCCGCGCCCTCACCCGGCGTGGGGGTGCAGTTCCCCACACCGTACGAGACCCCCGGCGGCGTGAACGCCGGCCTGTTTGGCGCAGGCCCCGCGGCCGCGGCCGCCGCCGCGGCCGCGCGCGGCAGGGGCAGCGCCGGCGGCGTCGGCGGCGGCAGTAGCGGCTTGCTGCCGTTCCGGCTGCAGGGCGCCGGGTCTGGCGACTCGTTTGCACCGCGCGGCGGCGGCGTGGGTGGTGCGGGTGCGCAGCAGCAGGCCGACAATGCGCAGCAGGCCTCAGGGTCAGGCAGCCCCGTCCAGGGCCTGGTCGCCGGCCGCCGCGCCAGCGGCCGCGCCGCGCCCGGCTCGTCGCCGCTCCAGCTTGCCGTGGCGTCCATCGCCGCGGCGGCCGCCGCGGACGCGGAGGCGGCGGGTGCGGGCGTGGTCGCGGGCGGCTTTGCGTTCACGGCCGGCGAGGGCGGCGGCGTGCCGCGGGGCAGGCAGCTGCAGCGCACGCCGGTGGGGGCGTCCCCGGAAGGCAGAGAGGCAATGCTGCGAGACCTGCGAGCCCAGCTGGGGGCTGGCGGTGGAGCTGGCTGCAGAGGCGGTGCGCGCGCGTCGCTGGCGCCGCAGCCGCTGGAGGGCGCCGCCGGCCGCGGGCGGCCGTCGCTGGCGCAGCCGCTGGGGACGCCGCTGGCGGCGGGTGGGTGGATGCCGGGTTCATGCACGGAGGGTTGTCGGAAGTCGCAAAGGCAGATCGGCTGCTGGCCCTGGGAGGGCCGTTATTTTGCTTGGCTGGAGAAGGCGTGGGGCTCATATCGCTTACACTCATCTCACCTGCACTCGCACGCCGCCGGACGCACCCACCGCAGCCCCGTCCCCCATGCAACCGGGCCTCCGCGCCCCCGCCAACACGCCCGCCGCCGCCGCCACGCCGGTGCCACGCTTCTTCGAGCCCGCGGGCGCCCCCCTGGCCGCGGGCGCGCCCGGCCAGCTGCCGCCGCCGGCCCGGAGCGCCAGCTCCCACCGGATGCGGCCGCGCGCCGGCGGGGAGGGCGGCGGCGATGCGGGCACCCCGCTCAGCGCGCGGCGGACGCCGTTGCGCGGGGCGGCCGGCGGCGGCGGGCCCCTCGGCTCCCCATGCGGCAGGTGCGTTGGCTGCTGAGCGGGCCGGGCTAGGGTTTATGCACCCCTCCTGCCACCGCTGCATCAAGCCACCGGCAATGAGCCGCGCGCTGTCGCAAGCCTCCCCTTTGGACGCACGCACGCGCCTGTGGGCCCCCCTGCCCCTTGCGCTGAGCGGCCCCGCGATGCCCTCATCGCCGCGTGCCCCCGCAGCCTCCGCGGCACGCCACGCGCCGCGGGCGGCAGCGCCAGCGCCAGCGCCGCTCTGGTGCCCATCCGCTACCTCTTCGGCCTGGACGTGAGGGACCCCCCCGCGGGGCAGAAGGGCGTGCTGTACACACACAGGTGGCGCGGGGGGAGGCGCGGCCGGGGGCGCGCGCGCTGGCGGTGACGCTGCAGGCCTTCCGTGTATCGACGGGGCCGCGGCGTGCCCGCTTCAAGGCTGCTCGGCGGCGGTCGTGACAGCTGGGCGGCCGCGGCCGGCAGCCAAGCGTGCCCTGCTGATGCGCCACCACATGGCGACCCTGATCTTCTCATGTGCTGAGCGGCCAACGCCCCCCCCCTCCCCCCAAAAAAACCTCACCCAAAGCACCCCCACTCTTCTCCCCTCGGCCCTTGCTAACGGCGCCCCCCAGAGCCACCGGCTTCACTTTCCAGCTGGGCCCCGTGGCCCCCACCACGGCCAGCAGCCTGGCGGCCGGCGCGACGGGCGACGGCGCGGCCGCGGGCGACGAGGGGGAGGGCAGCGTGGGGCAGGTGGGTGCGTGGGCGGGGCTGGGGCGCCGCGGGCGAGGCTCCTGGATGCAGTGTGGACGGTCTCGCTGACACGACCGTGCTGCAGCTGTCCACCAAGCCTTGCCCTTGTGTAGCCCAACTCGACACACAGTACACACACACGCACACACACACACGCGCGCGCGCGTGCACGCACACACACACACACACACACACACACACACACACAAACTCACAAAA